ATGGTGGACCAAGCGGATAACTGAGTGGCAGCACAGCAACTGGCGGCACAGTGAGTTACGGTGCCTCTCCTCCTTCCCTGGGGGGGAGCTGAACTGCAAATGCATGTCTGAATGTTGCCTGGTAAGGCATAGGGCCCACAACACCATGGCACAGCGGATCCTGCTGTCTCCATGGCAACTAGAAAAAAATTTGAATGGGGGCTCCATAGCACTGCCCTCTGTAGGGCTACAGAGTGAACATGTGACACCTCATCACTCCCTGACTGGAGGAGAAGGTTGTTATGGAGGCACATTATGTTCCCTGCGGGGGAACAGGTGGAGCCACTACCACCACCCCAAAACAGTGCCACTGCCCCCCCCCATATTTGTGGTGCTTCTGGTGGGGCTGCCCAGCAACATAATTGTGCCTCGCAATCCAGCTGCCCACCCCCTCTGGGGGATGGAAATGACTCCACACAGCTCCAGCCCTGGCTCGGCTTCAACCTGCATGGAAAGCACCTAGCGGTCTGGATTTGGCCCATATTCCACCTATTGACTAAACCAGACCTAGATATTGAACCGAGCCCTTGCTTCTGCCAACTCCACCTGGCAGAAGGGTTACACATAGATGCTACAGCATTATTGCAGTTGTCATAGTTGGCTGAATGGGGTATGACATAAAGCAGGTGTGATTTGAGATTTTGGGGCAAAGTGAAAATGGTGTTGTCAACAAAACCATAAATGTCCTTTAACAACCAGCTTCAAAAGAATTTTCCATATTTCTGATCAACTAAAAAAGAAACCTTTGTGTTATGTTCCCTAGGCCAGTCAACATTTCTGATTTTGAGTAGAGGCAGAACATTTATAAAAAACCACAAAGAAGCCGTTAAACCTTAAGCTGCTGAAAAGTTTTTGTGAGTACATGGGACAAGAATATCAGAATATACTGGGATACAGTAATGTCAGATGGCTGTCTATGTTACCTGCTTTACAGAAAATCTTTTGAGAGTCATTTGTGGTCATTTTTCTTCTGAGAGAAAAGTGCTCAGTAGTTCTTCACACAATATTTGCAAAGCCATGTAGCGAACTTCAGCTAGCTTTTATCAATACAGACATGGCACTTTATGACACAATCACATTTTTGAAAAAGACAGTCACAGGGCAGTAGAAACAGCTGATATCTTAATCTAAAAAAACCCCAAAGATTCTGCTTGCAAGGTACAAAAAAATGTGCCTGTTTTAGTGAGAAAAGTACATAGAAACCTAGAAGAAGTGGGGTTGTGACATGTCTGTGCTATCTTCAGCTGTCAAGATGTTTCTCTGATACAGCCATAAATAAATGCATACTTGGGGAAAGCAGACAGATGAT